AGGTTGAAAGCACTTTGGAAAAGATCTCTTACTTTTTATTGCAAAAACCTGTTGGTTAAGAACTTCGCATAACAAGAGTTTTGTAGTGTTAGACAAATCTCTCATAAGTTACCACAATACTCAAACACTTACCACAATAAAAAAGCAGTAATATAAACCTTAGGTTAAACAGTATAAGTCAGATGAAAACAAAATTTTCAGAAATTTCTAATATCTCCTGCTTCTTTTTTTGTTATATACTTACTGTACAGCCTACCTCTTTTATTTTTTTCACTAGGGTTGAAGTCACTGTGATAAGGACTATCAGAAATGGAACCAAACTGTTCCTGATATATTCAGATGTGTAAAATCTATGAATATGGAACCATGAACTTCATCTCTGTGGTTGGTTTCTTCTCCTGACCTTGAAGAGGACATGGAGACAACAGAAATAAATATTTTCTTTTCTCCAAGGAAAAAAAGACTAAGCAATTCAGGCCACACAATTTTGTTTTGTGTAGCAAACTCTTAAGGGTGTTTAATCAGCTTATTCATCCGTATTCTTCCTTCCTAACAATCACCTTAAAAGAGCAATCTAATAACAAAGAATACACACCATTTAACTAGTGAATTTTTGCTTACCTACCACAATATGGTTAGCATTAACTCACAATTTTGTGTTTCTTCCCAGCTGTGGGATGGTATTCACTAAAATTTTCATCTCCTCAGGCCTGTATATTTGTATGTTCATAAAATTCCTGGCGTGCGTCTTCTGTTTAGTGGTGCAAATAGCAATGAAAGCAACAGTAGCTTGTTCAAAGAAGGCTTATTGCACATGCTTTGGTTTTTCTTTATTTGAAAGGCTCTGTGATTTCACAGATTAAAAAAAATTAAAGGTCACTTCTTCCTGCAGCTTCCTCCAAAATAGCCTGTGGAAAAATGCAGCACAAAGCCCTAGCTCAAAGCTCTTCACTAAGCCAGGCAAAATGGAAAACCTGTAAACCTGTGAGACCCGTACCCTATCACAAAACGCGTAAGACAAATAATGAAAATGGAACTAAAAATACATTAGGTGTGACAAAATGGAACTTCTTCAGTGTGACTATGAGAGACTGGGCCTGCAAACAGTTAAGGAAAAAGTCTTTTTTGCATTTCACCTTCCTCCTAGGTTCCTGTAATCCATGCCAGCATACTTCTAGTATTACTTTGTTAGGCAGTAAGGTGAGAATGTGACAGTAAAACAGATGACCGGACATCCCATACTAGTTGCACTTAATAGCAAAGTATTTTGTTTCAAAGATCTGTTATATCAAGCCAGCTCTAGGTATTGCAGAAGAGACTGCTAGCACAGATCATAAATAAAATTATTCTATCTCTATGAAATGCAAAGCAGTGAAGACAGAACCTGCCTACACTAACAATTTTAATGACATTATTCAGTCAGCAAAATAACTTGAATTATAGACTTTCACTTAAATGTGTGTTTGTCTTGTAGGTTTTCTAGAAAAGGCATCAGGTGTCAACAGTCCAATTTTTACAGGTGTTTACTTAGGCCATCTAAGCAGGTTCATCTTTCAGTTCCAAGATGCAGCACACACATAGACACACTTCACATTTCGTGGCCATCAGAGCAACGTGCTGCAAACCAGCAGAAATCCATCAATTTTGATGCACAAACATTAGGGTAACTCTGCTAATTTATGCTGCCTCTCTTGGCCCAGTAGGAAAAGCCTTGCTCTGCAGTGCTGTGACATTGGGCTGTTTCTCTGTGGAGGTGGTGGCTGAATTACAATAAATGTAGAGGCAATTAGGAGCAGAAGAGTCTAGCAGAAGTTGGACCCAGTTCTCAGAGTAACACCCTCCTTGACTTCGGAGTTGGGATCACATTAACCAAATCAGAAAGGGCACTTCACAAAGGACTTGTTTTTCTAACATGCTCTGTGAACTCTCTTGTATATTCAGGTGCACATTTCCCTTCTCAGCTGCTTGTGCAACAAAGAACCTTGGTGCTTCCAAAGGCTGTCAGACAAGGAACATTATCATCATGACACTTGGTGCCTCCAACACTTTGACTCCTGGTCAAAAAAAGTCTACATGCCATTCTCACCAGCCTTGGAGATGGCCATGGGCTGAACTAGAACATAATTTTTCCCTTCCAGAGCCATGTATTAAGATCTACTTGTGACAGCAATATAGGTTGCATATAATTAGGGAAAAAAATACTGCTATTAGGAAGCAAAGAAGATTAATTTTAAGTACTTGCATGCAAATTCTAACATTTGTAAGAAATTAAATTAGTTGTGAAATATGAACTCTTGCATCTAGTCACAGACTATATGAGTGAGGAAGAGGATGCAAAACAGATCTTCCCAAGTCTTACAGTCACCAAGGTTGTTATGTCTCCTCCTTTGCCACCAGTGCATGATGAAAAAAATGAAATGTCATGATGGAGGCAAAAACATAACAAGGTGTACCTAATTTAATCCTGTGAGCTAACAAACATTGCAACAGTATTTACAATACAAATTAAAGAGTGGTAGTAAGATGAGGTGCAGCTAACCTGCAAGCAAATAATCTTGCTGAAGTAGAAACTCTCTTTATCCTGTTCTGAACAATTACTAACATGATGCCATCATAAAAATGATTAATGCCACAATATGGATTGAGTACTAATGAACTTGACCAAGGTATTTTTCATATTAGGAAAAATTGAAACAACATGTCATTTGAAACAACAAATTTCAGGGACTATTTTTAGATTAGTATTTAATTTGAAGATATAAGAGAAGTACATAAATGGTATCAAGAGCAGACACACTTAAGGGAATTAATTGAACTGTACATTTGCACCCAGACACTATCAGTTCCAGGCACTGTTAGACAAAATTAAGAAATGAAAAAGCAAATGCATTTTTTCTGAATGAAAAAAAGATGAAGAATAGGAAGAATCTTGTACCCTGTGAAAAAATATTGATGATGAAGATTCTAAAATATTTAAATGAACAGCAGAAAAATCTGAAGAATTACAATGCCACTATTTGAAGTCAAGGAAGAAGAAAGAAGCTCATCAAAGAAGCTGAAAAGCCTTTGACATGGGAAGATGCTACTTCTGCTGAGTTTTCAGAAGATGTGATTAGAGCATGCCAGTGGCCAAGAATGCAGACAATAATACTCCCTAGCAGGTGCCAGAAAGTTCAGCCTCCTAAGGGCAGAGAAATCTGGACTCTGTGAAGAGCTGCAAGGACTAAAATTTGCTGTATAAACAGCAGCAGGCACAAATGACTAATTTGCTTTCTTGTTCAGAAATAAACTACACCTAAAATTTTCCATGTTGAAACATGTTTTAATTGATGCAAACAGCAGAAGTATTTCTTCCTGGTCAAACATCAATTTATTTTTACATGAAAGTGTAGCATGATTTTAGAACATTAACTATACTAACTATTTCTCTGCAATGAACAGTATAGCCAAGATGCAATGATTTATTAATCAATTACTTCATGTCAATTACAGTAGCCACTAACATTTAATTAGGAGTTTAGATAAAACTGCCAGAAGAGAGGATTAGAAAAAAATGTGTGTGCGTTGTGGGAGAGGAGGGGCATTCCTGGAACACAGCCTGTACTTGCTGAAGCCATCCAGAAGCCCACATGGTGTTATCCACCTCTTCAGAGCAACAAGGACAATGGATGGCAGGTATCAACAGAGGACGAGGAGAATGGAACAAAACCCAGAAAACTGAGCAGAAGAGAGAGACAGGTCTTGAGCTGCTAATCTTCCACATCTTCCACATCCAGATCTGGACCGAGCCTGAAACAACTCTGCAGAAAACACATACTTTGCAAATAGATCTGGTACCTCTGTTCTACGTAAGAACTAAGAGGTATTTTAATTCCATTACAAATAAAACAATTAGACCTTTGTTAAATGACTAAACTTGACTGCCAGTGGAGTTAGAGTCCCATTAAAATCCCAACATATTGGGTGAGGCGCTTGTGCTGATTCCAGACACGCTACCCATAATGAGTGAAAGAGCTGCATGAGTTTAGAAGAAACATTATTACTAATTAGACTGCTTCAGATAATTGTAGCAGAATGTGGCTCTGCTTTAGCAACAGCAAAGTACAAGATCACATTTCTTCCTTCTAAAGGTGAACTTCAAAATATTTTGAGACAGTAAAGATTTGCATGTACGGTGTTAGAGCCCTACTCATACAAGAAAAATTAAGATTGTTGACTGCTACGGGAGAAAGAACTTGAAATTTACTAAAAAACTGTCAGTTTCTTGTGTTTGATGTCTACTAGAAATTCACCGAAACCGGCAGTTTTCTGTTTGGTAACTGCCAGATGTATTGAGAGCAACACCGACCCGTGTACCCTCACAGCTGACTGCTCTTCTCCCAGCTGGGAATGTACGATCCAAATGTTATAACCAGACACTGCAGAAAGGCACAGAAAAGACTACAATATGATCTAGGAGAAATTACTGACCAAACGGTGATGGACACTGGTCATTAAGCGAGAAAGACAAGTCTGTTAAATGATTTTGTCATGAGGGTGGCACAAGTGGTCCAGAGGTGTTTGCCTCGGGGCCGTCCACTCCCTCACGGCTCCGTCCTGGCCGTCCGCATCCCCGGTGCCCGCAGGCCCGGCCTCCGCAGCCGCTTCCCGGGCTGGTGACGGGACGGAGCCCCCACCGCACCCCGTGCCGTCCCCTCAGCTCGAAGGACGGGGAGCTCCTGAGGCCAGCGGGGACGCGGAGCCCCGTGCAGGGCCTTCTCTCCCGTCCTCATCCCGGCCCGGCAGAGGTGTCCAGGTAGCGGTGCCCCCCAGCTGGGCGAGACGCACCTCACCTCGCCTCGCCTCGCGCTGGCCGGGCGCGCACACGAGGCGCATCATTTGAAACACACGCATTCACCTTTCCTTCCCCACCAGCGGCCAAGGCAGCGGGGGGATCGCGGGGCCGAGCCCGCTCTGCCCAGGGCCCGCCGCAGCCTCCGCGGGACCCGGCGCTCACTCACCTCCGCCGCGGCGCGGCCCGGCCAGAGCAGGGCGAGCAGCAGCACCGGCGCCAGGCGGCCGGGGCAGCCCCCGCCGGCCATCCCCGCCTCGGCGCTGCCTGCACGGGTCCCGGGCCGCTTCCACTCTGCCCCCCTCCCGCCCTCCCGTGGGTTTTGGCCTGAGGGTTCCTCCGCACCCGCCTCGGCGCTCCCGGGTCGCGGCCCCGCCCCGGCCACCCCTCTCCTCCACCCCCTCATCTCCCCCCGCGTGTCCTGCCTTGGGCAGCGCTGGCGGCCGCCGCCCGCCCGCCTGTCCGTCCGTCCGTCCTTCCTCAGCGGTCATGGAGTGAGCGAGGCGTCGGGGGCTTTCCCGCCTGGGAGCTAAGGTGAGCGCCGCGGACGGGCAGCCCCGGGCGGAGCACCTGGCGCTCCTCGGGACGGGGCTGCGCAGCGCGCTGAGGGGCAGCCCCGTCCCGGGACAGCGGGAGGAGTCCCGGGTTGCCGGCTGGCTCCGTCCCCCGCCGCGCCGCCGTGAGGGCGCAGGTGGCGGGCCCGCCCGGACCGCGGGGCTCGCGGCGGGAGCGGGGCCGGGGCTGGCACTGCCCGAACGAGGCACGGGCTGCGCTCGCACGGAGCGGGGTCGGCTCTGGCTCCCGGCGGGGAGGAGGGCACGCTGAAAGCGGGCGAGAGCGAGGCGGTACCGGGAAAGGCGGCGGCGGCAGCCGGGCCCCCCCCAGCGCCATCCCGCCCCTGCCGGGGCGCTCCCGGGCACGGACGGGAGTTCCTTCAGCAACGCTTTCCGCTCCCTCGAGTGTTTTCTTTATGAGACAGAGGAAATTCCCAGAAGGGACAAAATGCTGCCCCACCGCATAAATGGCAAGCAGCGAGAAATGTTTCCATGTAATATGATAAAAAGCTTTTTCGAACGGAATTGTGATTTGTAAAGTGTCGGCAATGTGTAAAGTTTGTCAGATTTATGTTACTGACAGAAGTGCTGCATGCTCAAGGTAACCTTTCACCAAACAGAGTGCTGTTTTGAGAAGGTGCAAACTTAGAATGCATGCTGGCAGTGCCAGCCACAGCAACCTTATCTTGTCTGTAGTGTTCATGGATGCTATACAGGAAATCCCATATTACAGGTTTTATTTGCACTAGAAGTGATGCAGCAAAAGCAACAATATAATAGATGTATATAAATTTAGGAGTATTAATGAAATACAAAGCTAAAGGCTTTTGTTAGCAGAAAGCCAGCCAGAGAGCTTTGTAAAACAGCTTCTCTGACAGGCACAAGAGTAGAGCTGGATCTGTGCTCAGTAGACCATACTCAGCCTCTTATGAAATCTGCTGTGAAAGCCAGTTAGCAGAAGCTACTTTTCCAAAAAGTTTGGTAGTGCCAGTAAGAACATGCTTCAGGAGACGGTGAGCGTTTCCTTCAGTACCAAAGATCTGGTACACAGCAACATGGTAAAACAACTTGACTCTAAAATATCCAACATCTGTGACAGCAAGCTGGTATAGACACCAAGGCATGGAGAGAAAAGGAAAGAATTCCCCTGGTTTCAGGCCAGATTGATGGTGACCATGTAGAAGAAAATGTATCCATTACTGGACTTTAACATGAGAAGTACTGGTGTTAGAGAGAAGGTCATAGACATTTATACAAGAGCAAAAACAAAAGGTTCGTAGCTTGTCTATGAGACAATGTGGTCAGAGCAAGCGAGACTACAGTGGAAGAGAGTGATCAGTCCTCTCAAATGATGGCAATTTCAATGCAAAATGCCCCAGCATGGATCTCACTGCAAAGATAGTACTCAAAAGGAGAGCTGTTGAATACTAAGCCAATGAGTTATTGGAAGAAACAAAAGAAAGCAGGCAGACCACTGTTAGGGGCAATGAAAGAACTCATGCAGAATACTGAGTGAATGAAGCACTGCTATAATAAAGAGATATTGAGTCAGTTTTCAAATGATGAAAATCCTGCGTGGAAATTAAAATTAAAAAAAAAGTCAGCAAGCTCAAAGCAAAAATGTGAAAGTGCTAACAAGGGAGATATATCAAAAAGGCAAAATATTAAAAAAGAATCCTCTTCACTTGCAGAACCACCTCCTTCACTGACCTTCAGCAGCTAAGTGGCTCAGCTGAATGGGAGTTTTGTGTATTTATAGTTAAGAAATAGCAAGTAATGTTGCACTCTGAGATTGTCACATAGAAGCATACATGCCTTTATGTGAGTTTCTAGGACAGATCCGTGACCCCAAAGGAGCACTGAGCTGCTACAAAGGTAAGATCAGGCACTGGGTTGTCTCCCCTGCTCACCGTGGCCACCAATGGCAGTGTGCATCCACAGAAAGCCTGTGGAAACTTGATGCACGCTGTGTTGCTGATACTGCTGTAATCCATGATATTATCTGAGGGCTACAAACTCAGACAATCTTGTATGTCTAAACAGCTGTCCAGCTCACCATCAGTTGTGCCAAAATATATACCTGCAGCTGCCTGTAGACCTACTTTACAAAAATCCAACAAAAGCGCCAGTACCTGAACACTGGAGATCAATCTTAATTCTAGAAAGCAACTGAAAGCTGCATCTAATTAAAGTTTGTATTTTTCTACAGTAACTGATACCTAATTATTTTAACTTTGGTTTTGTTTCCTTGGTTCTCTATGGTAAAGAAAGGATAATACTATTTTCAGGAATATTTTTGTGGGAAACATTAAAGTTGTATGAATTTAGTACAAAGTGCAAAGTTTATAGAACACTGTAAATGAAAAAATAGGACTTACTGGAAAGGATGGAGAGAGTACCTAATATGTCCATCACGAATGAGGCAGAAGTCCTATGGAAAACAGCATATAAGTTCACAGACTTCAAATGACTGTCCTAATTATAGGCATGAAAGAACCACATTAAAACTGATCTGAATCCTTGACTTTGTAACTTGTGCGGTATTGTTGCACATGATGTTGCTTCCTTTGGATGTAATGAAAATACAGTTAGGACTGCTCTAATTCTTTTTACCTCAATAACTGTAGCTGTGTGTCTGCCTCCAGCTATGGCTCATGTCCCCTGTTCTTTAGCAGAGTTACTGAGAATGAAATTGTCTTGCTTCTTGATTCCTGTATAGAAAGTAAACATCTAGATTATGTTATAGTGCCAGCTTGTCCCCTTCTGTTTTCTGAGGCTGAGGTGAGGTTTGGTGATCTCATGTGAAACCTATTCCTTTGGTGGTGGTGAGTGTGTTATCCTGTGGATATTTTATTGAGGTAACTGTTGTGATTGCTTCAAAAACATAAAAAATTAGATCAATTTGACCCATCAATCTAAACAAAACCTTGTATTCTTTCTGTTATTGTATTAGCTACTGAACAATTCAACTTGTTCAGAAAATGATGAGGTTTAGATAGCCATGGCAAAATAACAAACAGAGGGTTGCAAGTCTTCCACTCATGCATTAAGTATTATTTCAAACTGTGTCAATGGGTTGGATCAAAATGGATTTTAATCTGAAAATAAAAGTTTCGCTGCTAATACAAAGCAAATGTACCAAATATAATTTTCTTTTTAATTTTCTTCTTAATTTTCAGAAGCTGTTTGGATAATTAAATAATGAGATGAGTAGTGGGCAAAAGGAGCACATTTCTGCAAAGTCTCAACACTTAATGGCTTGGATTTTCCATTTGAGGCAATCAGTCCCTGCAATATTTTATTGCCTCACAATTTTGCTTATATTGTTTTTATTACAAATGTAAAAAAATCAGTGAGGTAGGAATGATGTTGGAATATTATTTTTTTATTAGGGATGCTGTTATTTTTTTCTTTTCTTACAGATGGGGAACTGGGGCACAGCAAGACTGTAGAATTTGACAGATGAATGGAGTACTGTACAATACATGTAAAGAGTGATCTTGCAGCATGGACTGGCTGCCTTTAGGCTATTTATTCATCAGTCAGTGCACAGCAGCTTCCAAAGTCTCCTCTTAGTACTGTGGGATTTGGATATACTGTGCATACACACAGGAGTCAATATTATTTATAGATTACTTCTGGTTAGAAAAATGCCACACTACAAATAATAGAAAGCAAAAGAGTAATGTTTCAGGGACTGTACCCTCACGTGTTTAACAAACACATGGCTGCTGCCTGAACAGCATCAGAGAGCAGCCAGTTTGCTGCACTTCACATCCTCACTCCCTGCTCAGGAACTGAGTGTCTTTGCCTACTCAGGAGATTTCTCCAAAGGAAGCAAACCCCTGTCAATTCCCCCTAGTCAGTATTCAGTTTCCTCAAAATTATTTCCCACATTTGGAACTCTAGAGTGCTAAAAAGCAGAAGCCTGTGATAATCTGTGCTAACCTGGGAGAAGCCCAGCCCTTAAACCCTCAGTTTGAAATAACCAGTGTGACTCATTTGCCAGACATGCCTTATTACAAAGGATTGCAGCTTCTTTTTTATTTGGGGCATAAGGGAGTTTGCACATGACCTGGCTCTGTCTCTGAATTTGTGAAGCTCGAGTTTCCAAAAAGGTTGGAGCAGCAAATAAAACTGTGGGACCTAAGTCATAGGTCAGGGATGCACTATGTATGCAAATTATATATTACTTATGCAATTTATGTATGCAAAATTTGACTGTGGGGGACTGTGGAGGCCACTGGTCAGTCCTGCTTCCTAAGTCCTGGCAAAAGCTGTAGAAAAAATGTTCTAAAGATAAAGCTGAAAAACTCTAGGTGATCTCCACTGATTGTCATCTGTCCATGCATGTGGATAGAACTCTTAGCTGAAATGCATATGTTTTATTCTGCATTCAGAGTGGTCTTCCTTTGCTCACATGCTGGCACAGACTGGTCCAGCCCAGTTTACAAAAGATGCTGCTGCTCAGTTTGGTCTTAAAACTATAATAAATACTTTCTTGAGGTTTTTTAAAGTTCATTAGGTTTTTTTACTATACATGGGTATTGCATCTTTTGTCTTAATGCCTTTAACTGAAATGGTGGCTATGAAAACTTTTTAAGAAATAATGATATAAGATTCTCTTTGTTCATTATTTCAAACACAGAACGAGGACTATCTTTACTAGGCTGAAATCTTGTACCCCTTTTCATGT